GGCAAAAGCAGGGCCTTTCTCATTAGTACTGCTTATAAGTGTTTGTTTCTGAAAAACACATAATAAGGTGTTGTTGTTTTATAAAAGAAATAGATATATTGATACTAAACCCAAAGTATGTCTTCTGTTTGGGGTAACCAAATTCAGTCATACTGGGGCAATAATACATGATAGAACTATGGAGATGGCAAAGGTACTGTAATGGTCACACAGTGCTTAGCCTAACACCATTTTGAATTGGCAAGAACCTCTAAATGTGAAATGAGGTACTAAGGATCCACAGAGGCAGAGCTCAGTGTTCAAGAACACCAGGCATTTTACTTCCCCACGCTCTCCTGTTTGTTGTCTGCCTCCCTTCTTGCAGGCTGTCAGATGAAGTGTTTTGGAAGTTCTCTCTTCCTGCACTCTAAAATGCTTAATTAACACAGCTGCTTGAGAACTTCTGCTTTTATTTTTCAGTATTTTGTTATGGAATCTTGAATTCACTAATTTATAATTTATTTCTATGTAAAAACAACTAGTAAAAAATGCCACATTTAAACTCTAAGATTATTTTCTTCCACTTTTTCTCATTTTATTCATATATTTTGATCATTTATTTATTGTGTGTGGTGTGTGTGTTTCTCATGTATCTTAGTCCTTTTCCCCCTTGATTCTCTTCCTTTGCCTCTCTGCCGTTCCCCACCCTCACCCTCCCACACTGTCTGGGATCTACAGTTGCTCTCCATCCTTTCATACTGTCCAATGTTTCCATTTCCATCACAGAATGCAGACATTTGGTATATTTTAAGAGGGGACACATAATGTCTCTTGCTTCGCTGAACAGTAAATCTTCCATATTATTGTAATGCATTCAAATATGGGTGGATTTGCTCAGCTAGATAGGATGACCGATTCTGAAAGTTAAGGGTAATTAAATTGAGGTGTTCTAGCTTCACAACCAATAGATCTGAGTGGATGTATTTCAGTGTCACTGGTGGAGGAATATGCTATTTATGTTGATAAATTAAACAGAATTTCACACAAAATGATATTCTATTTAACAGCATCACAATGTACAGTGGGGAAAGTGTTTAATACTCTTGATATAATTCCACTTCATCACATTATTAGACCCCTAATTGTTATATTGTATTGACTGGTGCTAGAATTAGAACTCCTTCAGAATATATTTCCTTCCAAAGAAGAGCTGTCACCTGCCCTGGAGTAAACACATCATGGGGTCATTAGACCTACAGCTGAGAAAACCTGCAGAGTAGAGTAGGCAGTGTCACATATTGAACCTGTTTGATTCATTTGTGATTTTATAGCTTCCAGTTGACTTAAGGAGAAATAAATATTCAAATTAACAACTGACTTTTAATTAGGATGCATTATAAAAATAGAACAAGACCAGACAAAGAAATAAGAATATGAGGTAGTTAATAGGATTTTAATGAGGATAAAAAAATTAAATGTAAAATATAAATAAATTGGACTTCATTATATTAAAATTACTGTTTATATACAGACACCAAGTTAAAATGAAAAAGCAAAGCACATATTAAGAGAAAATATTTCCAAACAAAGATGTGACAAAATGCCAGAACCCCAGTATGTGAAGAACTCCTAGAGAGCAATGTTAAAATAACCCAAAACTGGGGCCAACGGGTGGTATGGTGGTTAAGGCACTGGACTCCCATATTGTAAGATGCAGTTCAAGTCCTAGACCTGGCAGCCTGAGGACCTAGCCCCACTTGGGGGTGCTTTATGGACTCCCTCTCTCTGCCTCTCTCTGGAGATTAAAAAGAAATGGTGGGGCCAGCAGGTGGCGTGGTAGTTCAGGGCACTGGACTCCCACATGGTCAACGTGTTTACAGTCCTGGACCTGGTGTCTGGCTTTCTCAATTTCTCTCACTCTCTCTCACTCTGACCCTCTCTGGTCAAATTTACATAAATAAATAAATAAATAATAAAGTGAAAATAAAATAATTCTTTAAAAAATAACAAATGTTGTCAATGATGTGTAACTGTCTCTCTTACATTGTTAGCGGGACTGTACATTTTAAAATAGTTTTGATAACTATTGACAAGAACTACTAAAATTGGTGTTACAAGCTAGAAAGGTGTGGTATCTATCAAAAAGCCTGACATAAACATTTTGGGAATTAGTGTATATTCAGAGTAGGCAGCATATATGTATATACAAAAATGTATCACATGTAATATTGTGATATATTTCAGTATCTGTACATTATGCTTTTAAAAAGAGCTAATTCAAATGAGATGAAACAAATATTTTATGTTCCTCTACATTCAGAAGTCATTTGAATGAACTCATTTCTCCTTTAAACATCTTAGCATTCAGATAGTCACTCAATCCTCCTTTAAACATCTTAGCATTCAGATAGTCAGAGAATTACACCTGTGAGAGGCACTATGCTTACCTTTGAAGACTTTAGTATTCATTCATCCCTTCAGCACTTATTTATTATGTTTCCTACATGGTAGTCATTGAAGAAAGGTAAAAAAGGGCAGTTGTAAGAAATCTACCATTTTGGGGGACCAGCAGTTAGCCTAATGGCTATGTCGCTGGACTCCCACGTAGTCGACCGCAATTTCTGTTCCAGACCCGGTGGCTTAAAACTCACGCTGGGTGCATGTGCCTGCATGCCCAAGATCCCAAGAGGAGAATGGAGGAAAAGGACTGTGGCGAGGCCAACCCCCCTGGGGGGTGATTTCTCGCTTTCTATCTCTCTGTCTCTCTCTCTGTCTGGCGAGAGCTCACGCCCTAAAGCAAAAACCTCTTAAAAAAAAAAAAAGAAATCTACCATTTTAAATTTACATATAAGATTAAAAAAAAAAAACCTGATCACTATATTTGAGGTCACATAAAGTTAGCAAGAATTCAAAGCTTTGAGGTTAAGGTTAAATGCATAACTGAAGGCACTTAACCACATTTGAGGTCAGCTTGGCTGTGAATGATTAATTTGGAGAGTCAGCTGAAGGATTTTTGCCCTCAGGTATCTTTTTATCTAACTCTCATCTTTTGATAATATGCTTATATTTTGGAGATTCTGAAGACATATTTAATGTAAATGGCATCTTACTGAATTTCACACGGCCCTTGTATTTGAATTGTCTTTTTACATTTAACACTTTAATAAACATTTAGTGTAGAGTATCAAAATGATAAAGTAATTTCTTAAAGGAAAAAAATAAGCACAGAAAAGGCAAAAGGAACACAGAGAAAAACTATTACAGAGAAAGGAATATATATGAGGAAAGAAGAAGAAGGAATTAGCTTAACAATTTTGAAAAATAAACTGGCAATTTTTTAAGAAATATGCTCTTACCATACAATCCTGAAATCACACTCCTTGGTATTAATCCAAAATAGCTGAAAACTTATGTCAAAGAAAAAAAAATACAATAAAACCCTAAATACAAAAGTCTATGAATATTTTATTCACAATTGCCAAAACTATAAGGCAACCAACAGGTCACTCAATCGAGGAATGAATGAACAAACATATACACATTGAATAATATCCAGTGATCAATAGTAAATGAACTATCGAACAAGAAATAGAGAAATCTTAAAAGCATATTGCTGAATGAGATAGGTCAATGTGAAAAGTTCATGAGACTATGATCTTGAGTCTATATATTTCAGAGGAAGGAAAACTATGGAGACAAAAACAATATTAATAGATCAGTAGTTTCCAGGAGTTTGAGAGAAGTAAGGAAAAACAAATAGGACTATAGAAGATATTTTAGAGCTGTAAAAACTACTCTGTATGATTTTGTAATAGCAGTAAAAATGACTGTGTACCTTTTTCAAAATCCATAGAACTCTACAACAAAAAGAACAAGCCCTAATTAAATACAAACTTTAGCTAATAAAGTATTGATATTTGTTCATCCATCCTAATGAATATATACTACTAATAATAGGGGAAACTGTATGTGTACAAGGAGTAGGAACACTCTGTAAAGGTATAACTGAAGGAACTAACCATATTTGAGGTCAGTTCAATTTCTGCAAACATAAATGTTCCGTAACTAAAGTGTATTAATTACAACAAAGAGAGAGAGATTGGGTAATATATCAGATATGAGGTGGAGTAATGGTATGAAATGTGCATGTAAAGGCATGGGGGAAGAGGCAAGATGAAGTTCTTCTGAAAGTGCCTTGGATACATTTTGTACCAGATAATAGGGTCAGGATTGAGAAACTCTAATGACTGCTTCTGAAATAAGGTTTTGATTACTGTGTTCCAACCTCAGTGGCTGAACAATTTGATCCCATGGTTGTCCAAGACTAGAGTGAGCTATACAACACAAATCCTGTACTTCTGAATTTTACTTTATAATTATATATCAATATTGGTTTCTCAGCTGTGAAAAATGATCTTTTTTATTTTTCTAAGAGATGTATAAACAAGACAGCAGTTATGATAGTCATGTTCTAAGCTTAAAGAAAAAAAAAAGTCTGGTTTTGTTTTTCATATCTCTAAAGGTGTTAATTTACTTTCTAGATGGAAACATAAGATACTTTAAAAGGATAGAATAGATTATAGACTTTTGAATATGACCCATTTCTAGGATTTAATTTGTTAAGACGAGCATACCAACCGAAGAAAAACCAGAGATGAAGAAATTTATACTAGGAAACCACCACACCATCAAATATGATTGGTATTGTATGCCTGATTAGGAAGAATTCTGTTCGAGATCTGGTATGCCTGGACTCTGAAGATGCAGCAGTTTCTTCTCATTAAGTGATGCAAGGACTTTTAAGGGCCACTCTAACTTAAAACTTAACAAGCTCAAACAATAAGATGAATGTAAAGGCCCCTCCCTGTGTCAGAAGACAAGGAATTAATAGCTAGTGCTGTTAAGTAATTATAATTTTAAAAGTATGCAAAAGTAAGATGTACGCAAGATACATCACACACTGACCAGGGTATATAAGC